CATCTTGGGTGATCTAAAAAGCAAGCAGAGTTTGACTTGGCTAGTATTTGGATTGGTTGATTGATTTAGAAAATGTATATGGCTGCCCATCTTAAATAAATTACTCTGAGCAGCTAGCAACCTGTTCACAGGGGAGAAAAACAATATAATAAAACCCCTGTAAACAAAACAAAGGTACAATTAAAAATAATCATAATTTAATAACCAAGGTACTGCAGGACAACTCACAACATAAAACAGAAATACATTGGGCTTCTCTAACATCCTGACCCTAATGCCTGGGGGAAAAGCCTAGTCTTCAAGGCCTTCCAGAAGACCAAGAGGGTCAGGGCTCTCTGGATCTCAGGGGGAAAACTGTTGTATATGGCAGGCACCATGTCAGAGAAAGCATGTCCACCAGGAGTCCACCAGGAAATATTAGGGCTGTAGGAAGACTAGGAAGTTGAAAACATTTCCTGGAAAAAAAGCAATGGTAAATTGATAATGAACTCAAGAAAATAACATGGACATGCTCATGAAGTTATCAGGAGTCAATTTCATTTTGGGGGAGAATTTACTTTTATATGAAGCTATGACCTTTTTAAAAAAAATGTTCAGTTCAAATGCACATTCTATGTATTTGCCTCAGGTAAAATAATTGAATTTCATTCTTCTGAGTCCATAGGATTGCATGATTAATCTCACTGGCTATTTCATCCCAGTGGACTCTGGAGAGACCCTTTTAAGTTCTGCCTCATTTACTTGCTTAATCCAAAAGTGCTGGTGTCATGATGCCCTTTGAACTGACTCGATTGGGGCTGCTACCGATAAAAATCTTCTTAGTCTTTCAGTATTAGCGAGAATAGCCCTGAATCTGCAGAGAACTGGAGAATGGAAGAAAAGAACAATTGAATTAAAATAAGTGTTTACTGAAGATATAATTGAGGTTCTCAGTTCATATGATACTGAAATTTTGAAATAAAAAATTGGCAGTTAGAGATGTTCCTATTACTGAGGTGAAAGATGGGAAATGGAAGATATGGACAAAAGAAAGCAGAAAGAGGATGGAAAAGGGAAGGGCCACCATGAGGAGCTAAATGATAATGGCCCACCATATTTTTAAATCTTCCTTCCAAATTTTCTGAAATTAACACAACAGTTCTTGGAAGAGGATTAAAGTGGCAGGGGTGGTGGCAGTCAGAAGTGAGGTTATGGTAAAATAATGGGTAAACATGAATGGAGCTTTCTCCATTTTGGCAATGTTGTGTCTTAATATTTGTGTTGGTGAAGAGCTTATACTGACCAGAATGTGCACGCTAATGTATATTGTGGTTCCTGTTTCCTTCCTAAGTGTCTATGCACCAACCATCCCATACTGATAATTTTTTAATTACTGTAAACATTACTTATTTCCTGAAAGCATTAACTTAGAATTGCATTTCTACAAATCAAGAAAGACACTAGGGGAGAAAGGAACCATAATTCAAGAAGTGAAAGTGTAGTTGGCTATTCTATATTTCACAGCTTGATGAGTTCCGGACTAGTTTTGGACTAAGTATCTGACCTACAAGATACATTGGAGACAGTTGCTACTAAGAACAATAGTCCAATGTGAGGTTATTTAATTTCTATAAATAAAACTGTTCTTCCCAGAAAAGCCCAGAATCGTTTACAAAAGAACAAAAGCAATCTTAAATAAACCAGCAATAAGACCAACAAACCTTAAAATCAGTACATATCAAGAGACATTCAAAAAGCAAAACAAGAACATCTTAAAGGCACTCTTAAATCTCACCTACAAGTGGCTGGGTGACCAGATGTTTTCAATTGCCATCTCAAAGAAAATGGCATGGGGGCCAAGAGACACATTTTCTTTGGAAGACAGTTCTCTAACGGGTGCACTTCCACTGAGATACCCCACCTCTGGCTACCACACTGTAAACCAGATCAACCAGGGGGACTACAGGAAGTATCACTGTGGGGATATCTTAATTCATGTCATGGATGGCATTAGGGGAAATTACCTTTTAAGTTCCTAGATCCTAAGCCACTTCGACCTTTACAGGTTAATGCCAACATCTTAAATTGGCTCCAATATTTCAGAGGCAGCCTGGGCAGCCCCTTCAGTATTGGTGTTATACGATTTCAGTTGTTCCACTTAAACATCCATCTGGACAAGTTGCAGCTTTCGGACCATCTTCAAGGGCAGCCTCTTTCAGGATTGCAGACATGAGATTATGATGTTATGGATCACTGGGGCTAGGCTATCCCATTCCAGGTAGGGTCATGGTGGCTCACCAATCAAAGCAGCCACTTGTGCCTCTGGAGACAGATTGGAATTGAGGAAATTCCATGCAGCTGTTCCTTCAGAAGAAAAGCTACACCGTCCATTAAATGAATGATGATCCAGTTTTAAGCAATCTTAAAGGGGAAAGGCTTTGAGACTGAAATTTTCAAATCAAATCTTTAGGGTAGATTTAAAATTTAAGAAATGAAAAAGAAATGCAAAGAAACAGAAATCATAAGACAGAAAGAATTGCATAGCAGAAGAGGAAAGGGGATTTTATACCCCAAACATTAACATAAAAATCAACTTACATGAATGAACCTTGGATAAAATGGGTGCCGTGTAGCTCCCTATCATTAGATAATACCTGAATGTTCCTCACTCCCAGGAGAGGCATGTAGACAAATACTGCCAATGAGCTACAGATAAGACCTGCATTAGCTATAAAGATCTTCCTCCTCGTGCACTTTCAGATTCATTAGAAACTGTGCACCCAAGAGCCTATTCTTCAAACTGAGTGTTACTATTATTCACTTAGCTTCAGTCACATGGTCTGGCATACTATAAGTTCTTCTTAATGTTTCTTTGTTCATGACCATAGGGTGTCTCCAACTGCCAGCTGGAGCTCTGGAGGGAAATGGGGCCCTTCACATCTGGTGACAAGAAAAGTGTAGTTTTGACTTCGCACCTTCTCTACCCACATAGATGAGGAAATACAGCATAATGGCCCTCATTGTCAGAAAACTCTTGATCTTCCTGAGATGAATACAAATGATGAGAGCAGTTTGGCAACAGCTATCACAGTGAGATTGTGCTGTAATCTACACACATTTAAGGAAGGATAAATAGGGGCAGAGAGACTAGAAAAAGCTGGAGAAGTACAACCATTTGTTTTCCCTGTAAAATGGAAATCATTAAAGCAGGGGGCTTTTAAACAAAACTGTATGTTGAAGACCACTGAATAAAGAGATAAACAGAACTCAGAAGCTTCAGGCATTTTGGAAAATCCCAAACATACCATGAATTAATGCAGACAAGAGTAGGAGATGGAGGAAATAATTAACATTCACAGTGATATTGGCAGGTTCATATATTATGCTAAGCCATAACATGGTTTCTTTCATGTTGGCTTAACATGCACTGTATCTCTTACCAAGTTTGGCCTTTTCAACAAGTCACGTTTAAGCAGGTTATGACTTAGTGCAATTGCAAACCTAGTCTTTGTTCCTGAGATATTAAAAATGCCTTCTTTTATGCAACTCTGTGGTCCCTACTTAGCTATTCTGTAGCTTTAGGTTTACTTTCAGTAACTACAGTCCTTAAAGCCTATTTAGAACACATTAGATTCATAACAAAATACTGAAATTACATCGACCTGGAAGTTTAAAAACGGCTGAATCTGTTCTAACACAGGATGTGAGTTATTTGTAGAACTACACATTCTACCAGCAAACATGCTTTTTTCAAACATGTCTGCCACTTATTCTGCCGGTGGGAGAGATTTAGATAGCCATTATGTTGATGCTCACCCCTCCCCCAACTACTGAACTACCTCTTTTAACAGGCAATCCTTTGCTCTTGCTGGCCAGTTTGTAATGAAGCAAA